CATACCAGAAAACGGAAGTCTAGAAACAGATAGAATCAGAAGTTTTGTTTAAAGGTAGTAAAGCTAGGATTTATTCATTGCCAAGTCAAATATGGTTATTCAGTTTTCTACAAATGAAGCAACACTGAAACTGCAGTAAGAGAAAGCAAGTTGGGAAACTTTGAGCATCATTAAGAAACTGACCTGTAAGCTAGTGTTTCGGTGTGGTGGAACCGAGCTAAAAACGAGATTTCAATTTGAATGTTTTTCAGAATGTCATTTCGCAGACTAGCTTTTGGATCAGTGTTGAGAGAACAAAGGAGTATTAACAGACACAGCATTTTGAGAAGTTCAAAACCGTGCATTTTTCAACTGCGACTTTAGTTTTTTCGAACCACGTACGAAAGGAATTCAGGAAGTCAATCGACACCACAACCCTCTACTATTACTCTGCTCCGGTAAATAATGTCATTAAGGTATAGTGCTGGGTTGGATCCAGAGGTGCACGACTGGAGAGAATAAAATACCGCGACTATTATTAATTCACCCGTGGAACTTGTTAAGTGCTTTTGTTTTGAGGGCGTTTTAAAATACGCTTGATGAAGAAGCTCTATCGTTGGCCGCCTTTGAGTCACAGTGGTAACGCTGGCCAATAGGAAAAGCACCGAGCAACAAAATGGTCAGTGTCGAACCTTCTTGCTAATTACCCACAATTATATGTAGGCCATTGAATACTGGGTGAAGATCGTACTCCGTTTGCATTCCTCAGCGCGTATTACATTTCTTAAGTCACCGCTCACCTGAAGTTCATCTAGATCGCTTCACCAAGGTTCTCCAAACAAACTTCGTGTAGTATATGGGTTTTGAATGTTTTTGAAATGGTTTCTGTACCAGGCTTCTTTTGAAAGTACTTGGTTAGTGGGAACAGGAGGTGTCTCAGGTGGTTGTGGTCGCTCGCAAACGTGGTATTTTTTGGTTCCACTGGATTATCGAATTTTTTTCGCAGTACATACTGTTTAAACGATGAAGGCATCTGTTAAATGCTACTAAGCTTGTCGTTATTGCAGGTGCAGTAGAAAAGAATAGTTATTTCTTTGCATTAAGCGTTGTAATAGATTTTTCTGAATCGGTTTTTTCGTAATTGATAAATTTTCTGGCTATCACTCCTAGATCACAATTATGTGGAAGTCAAACGATAAAGATGAGTTCTGGAGCTGCAGCGGATCAGGGAGATCAACATTTGGACCTTCACGTTGTACCCTATCGGTCACATCTGGCAAAAAAGGTGGTTTTTGTAAACTCAACCTTACAGAACAAAAATAGTGCACTTTTTGAAATGAAAAAAAAAAAACTTTCTACAGAAAGGCATTTTTGGTCAAAGATGAAAACTAAGTTGTGTCACCACGACCGTAATTTCTTCTTCTAAAGGTATCATAGATTTATCTTGCCCAAGTTCAATGACATTTAAGGAGGTATGTACAGCCAAAATTTCTCGCTTTTTTTCTTCATTCGTTGAAGAAGGAAAAGGTTTTTTTAAATGAATACTAGTGGCTTTATAATCAAATTCACTGTACCTGTAACTAGAAATTAGCGATTTCTAAAAATGATTAGGCATCACGTAGATGTTAATCCACGCTGAAGTTTCACTTGTCGATTACTTTTTTTTTCGTGATTTACCGTTTACTTCGTATAGCATCTGGTTCAACGTTTGCACTTCAAGAAGAATGAGGAGCTTACGGAGAGCCTTATATGAGAAGTAATCTCATTATTAGGTTTGCGAACGTGACGTGTGTGTTTTGGTGGATAAAAGATTTGTATTTCGCAAGCGTTCTTAGCGGTCTTTGAATCAATTTTTTAGTTAAGGGCGTTCAACTCCTCTTGTTGTATTCTTATTGTATTTAGAGGCATTTTCAGCGTTTGAGATGTTAGCTGCTGTATGTTTTTCATAATTTACATAGTTACACGTGGAATTTGACGTGCTTGGGCAATAATTAAGCAGCATAGGTGACATTTGTTCGCTTGTTCTGGGAGGACTTCTTGTAAGAAGTGTTCGAGATGGCAATGCAGTTGACCAATTAGCTTTTTTAAGGCTTACATGCCGAGTATTTTGCTAGATGGGGAAAGGGCCGTATTAGCAGACCGCTCGGGTGCGCTTTTGATGAAGTTAAGAACCGTTGGTTTATTGCAGATCATGGTAATTCAGAGGTATGAGGATAAAGCTTCTTTGAGAGGCGTAGTTCTTATTGTCTGTCTTCTTATAATTATTTTGTCTGCTTAATTTTTTGCAAATATTTATAAAATGGATGATGGACAGGAAGGTTTTTTTACAGCTGAAAGTGGTTGATTGCGAGAAGCTTAAAGAAGTTTTTTCGGTTTGCGGATTTTGCCGGCCAAGTGCTCTTGCCATAATAGAAGAAGGTCGTACGTTGGGTTTAGTTGATGACCGCCATATTATTATTGGTGATACTCGGTCACTGGAGTTTTCCTCAATCAGTGAAGAGTATCATGGCTGTCGACGAGGTTGGTCCTACCGTTGGAAATTTGTAATATAGCTAAAATTTATTTTTGTTAGTTGGTAACTGGTTATTTCTTCTTAGCTTACCTGCTTGGTTTTTGAGAAATGCAGGCTATAAATCGTCCAGTATTTGTTGTTTCTCTTAATTTATTATTATGGCAGTGGTTTTTTCAGGTGAATTTAAATCGTTCTTAAAGTGATTCTGCTTCAGGTTTAGCCGTCTCGGAGTGTGGAAATTTTTTGATAAATTTGCACAAAACTCGAGGGAGTTTGGCGGAGGTTCTAGTGTATGATATTCGTCAGCCTGGGGAGGTTTCTTTTATTTTACTGACATTTGTAAAATAGTCTGTAATTAATGGATGCTGAAACGCCTATGACGTTTTGTATTCTCAGAGGTCATCGGTTCCTGTTAAATGCTGTCAATTTATTTAGTTACTTTTACAGGCTATGAGTATCAAATATTCATGCATTTATGAGCGTTTTTTTAGAAAAAAAACTTTGGAAATGTGTTTAAAATTATTACAGTCGCACTCGACACTTCTGTTTCGTTTTCACGGGCATTACTGGTTAAAAATTATTTTAGGCATTTGATATCTTAGCATATGCACTACCTCTTTCAACGCACAGTTCCAAGCCGTGTTTCATAGACTACATGCGAGGCCGACTGGTCATTAGCGATTTAGGTGTCGAATGTCAAGCATCTTTTATTATTTTCTATCAAAATGCTTCTTGCATCAGGAGGTTTGATTATTGGGAGCGGGATGAGAGTACTTTTTAGTTAACCACCTACTGAATGGAGAGGTAAAGGAGATTTTCACTTGGGATACAAAGATTTAATTTGAAAAGATTAGATTTCTCATGTTCCTGATACTGGTAAAAAAGGAAACGATTTAAAAATGGTCAGCAGACCCTGCATTAACTTCTTCAAAAAGCCCCAAAAGGCATTTTGATATCGCATTAGAAACGTTGTTTTTTAGACCTAGGTTAAGACTGTTTTGAGTGATAATATTTAACGAAACGAACGGTTGTTCTGGGAGGGTTGGAGGGATCTGCAGAGCTTGGTAGATATTGTATTTTTTTATCAATATTCAGTACATGGTAATTAGATTGGTTGCGAATTGTAAGAAGCGCAATAAATAACAAATGAGTTAGATCACTTTCGCTTTTTTTGCTTGATAATGGACGTTTTTAGGTGTTAAAGAAGTTTACGTTTTGTCCTGTAAAATAGGAAATCCCAGACTGGATGAGACTACCGAATTGAAATTTCGTGACTTTCTGTCTAACGGATCAGTAGGTTTTAATTACCCAGCAGGTGTTGTTTTCGATTCGCAATACGACATTGTTCTTAGCGATGCGGGAGCTTCAAAACTTTATGTACTTTTTTCTCATCTGATATTCTTATATTATTTTCACATAAATGATTCTGATTTGGTGGGTTTTTTGAAGCTGT